GCCGCCGTGCCCGCGCCCGGCGCCGGCCGTGCCGGGGCCGCCCCCAGGGTCCCGCAAAGCCGCGTTGATGATGTTGTGGCTCTGCTCCCAGCTGCAGTTCTGGAGGGCGCCGGGGCAGCGCTTCTGCTGCAGCGGGGTCTGCTCCGGCGTGGGCAGCACCCCCGAGTCCAGGTCGTGCTGGGCCACCTTGCCCAGCTCCTTGGGCCACCCGTTGGGCATCAGCGGGGCCAGCAGGGCGCCGCGCGCCCGCCGCTCGCCCAGCCGGCTGACGCTTACCACCGACTCACTGTGCGCCAGGATCGTCTCCTTGTCCTTGCGCCGCGCCAGCTCCTTGCGGTCGCGGTGCCCGATGAACCAGCACACGCTGAAGCCGGAGATGACGGCGCCGATCACGAAGGCGGCCACCGACGAGATCACCAGCAGGTTCACCGACACCAGCCCGTCCGGCTCGTCCACGAAGCTCTCGGTCACCAGCCCTGCGCGGCGGGGACGCGTCAGGGGACCCGCGGGGGGGGGCCGGCGCCGCGTCCCCGGGTCCCCTCCCGGCCCCGCACTCACCCTCGCACTCGCCCAGGTGGGACGTGCTGCCGCCGGCGATGTCCTGCTCGAAGGACGCCCTGGGGGTGTAAATTAGGGGGGCGTCAGAGGGTCCCAAATGGCCTGGGAGAGTCTCCCAGGTCCCTTCGGTGAGCTGTGAGTCTGTGGGGGCTCAGTGGTTGGGGGTTTTGGGAGCCGAGGCTCTCTGGGGACCCCACTGTCCCCCCTCCGTGTCTCCCAGTGTCCCCCAGGCCTGGCAGAGTTACCTGGGACTGGGCTCCAGGAAGACACAGGAGCCCTCAGATGTCCAGCCACAGTAGGGATCCCGGCTCCCGAGGCAGTTCCTGGTGGGGAGCAGAGACATTGGGATCAGTCCTGATGGGGGGGGACACAAGACCCTGGCCCCCACAAGGGACCCCGCACTGTGCTGTGCCTCGGTGTCCCCAGCCGTGCTCCCGGCCATGCCGAGCCCATCCCAGCCAGATCCCGGCATGGGGTGAATTCCTGGGAGACGTGAAGGTGACATGAACCCCCCCCAGGCAGCCCTGCCCCGCCCCGGGCACACTCACTTCATGCAGCCCGAGTGCTGCTGGCAGCGAGCCACGGGCACCCTGGCCACGCACGGGGGGAAGGCCAGGAGCAGGGACCCCGCTGCCTTGTCCAGCTCCAGCCCCAGGAGCCGCCGCTCGTCCTCCGTGTCCCGGCCACACCTGGGGACAGGACAGAGCTCAGCGTGGTCCGTGGGGCCCACCATGGATCTGGGCCCAGCTAAGGCTGGGCCACAGAAGGTTGTGTCACTCATTCCCCCACCCTGTTCCTCCCCCCACCCTTGCATCTGTCTGACCCATCGTCTCCATCCATCCCTCCCTCCCTCCCTCCCTCCCTCCATCCATCCATCCCATCATCTCCAACCACATCATTCCCCCTCCCGGTCACCTTGCAACTGTCAATCAATCCCTCCCTAAACATCACACCCACCCACCCATCTATCCATGAAAACGCCCCCATCCATCCAACTCTCTAACTGCTCACCCACCTGCCCATCCAATGACTCCATCATCCATCCATCCATCCATCCATCCATCTATCCATCCATCCACCCATTCACCCCTCCCTCCCTCCATCCCTCCATCCATCCATTCACTCATCCATCCATCCATTCATCCCTACATCCAACCATCCACTCATCCCTCCCTCCGTCCCTCCCTCCATCCCCTCATCCACCCATCCACCCATCCACTCATCCATCCATCCATCCCTCCCTCCCTCCCTCCCTCCCTCCATCCATCCCTCCCTCCCTTCCTCCCTCCATCCCTCCACCCACTTGTCCATCCCTCCACACCTCCACCACTCTGACCACCCCCCCCCAAGTCTCCCAGCTCCCTGTCCCCCCTCCCAGCTCCCACCTCCCGGGCTGGTAGGTCTCAAACTCCTCCAGGAAGACGCTCTGGCTGCCGGGGGCGGTGGCCGTGGTGGCGCTGGTGGCGTTGGGCAGGATGAGGAACTTGAGGACGGTGCCGGTGCTGGAGCCCAGGAACACCACGGTGTGGTTGCCCCACGGCCCCGCCGCCGTGTCCACCACGATCCTGCGGAGCTGGTACCTGTGGGGTGGGGACAGGGCGGGGCTGGGGGTGGGTGGGAATGTCCCCAGGGAGGGACAGGGTGTGGCTGTCCCAGGGTGGGGAGTCCCCAGGGGGTGTGAGGGGCTGTGAGGATCCCAGAAGGAAACAAGTCCAGATCCTGGCCAGGACCCAGCCAGACCCATCCCACATGCTACTTAGGATCCTGCCCACATCGTGCCTGGATATAGCCTGGATTCCACCCAGATCCCGGCTGGCATCCAGCTCAGATCCCACTAAGGAACCAGCCCAGATCCTCCTCAAGCACTCAGCAGGATCCCAGCTGGTCCCCAGCCCGCATTCCAGCCCCACATCCCTGCTCCCAACCTTGTGTCCCCATCCCCATATACCCATTCCCATCCCTGTATCCCCATCCCCATCCCACATTCCAAACCCCATTCTCATTCCTGTATCCCTGTCCCCATCCCACGTCCCCATCATCATTCCCTTTTTGTATCCCTGTTCCCATCCCATGTCACTATTCCCATCCCATGTCCCCGTTCCCATCCCATGTCCCCATTCCCATCCCCATGTGTCCCTATTCCCATTCCCGCCCCATGTCCTCATCCCCATTTCCATCTCTGTATCCCTGTCCACATCCAGTGTTCCCGTTCCCATTCCCACCCTATGTCCCTATTCCCATCCCATGTCCCCATTCCCATTCCTGTATCCCCATCCCTATTCCCATCCCTGTATCCTGATCCCCATCCCGTGTTCCCATCCCCACCCCGTGTCCCCATTCCCACTCCCATTCCCTGTCCCTGTCCCCATTCCTGCTCTCCCCCGCCTGCCCTGCCGGCAGGAGCCGCGGCCCGAGAGCTCCGCTTGATTAATTCCCCATCAAGCAGCAATTAAGGCAGATTTAATTAGGACGAGACAATCTCGGCTGCAAAGTGCAGGAGATTTATCAGCTCTGCCGGGGCTCCCGGCGCTGGCACACGCGGGCCGGGGCAGCGAGGGAGGCTCCGGACCAGCATTCCCAGTCCCCCCTCGGGGCTTCCCCAGCTCCCCCAGCATTCCCAGTCCCTCCTCAGGGCTTCCCCAGTGCCCCCAGCGTTCCCAGGCCCCCCAGCATTCCCACTCCCCCCTCGGGGCTTCCCCAGCTCCCCCAACATTCCCAGTCCCCCCTCAGGGCTTCCCCGGGCACCCACCGGCTCATGGTGCGGAGGATCCAGGGCGCGTTCCCCAGGGCCGGCACCGCCTCGTCCATCAGCGGGTGTGTCTTGACGAAGTTGAGGATCTCGTCGGGGAAGGCGCTGGAGGAGTTGTAGCGCATCCCCGGGGCCGCGCAGCACCCGGGCCTGCGGGAGGGGCAGGGGCAGGGATGGGGACACGGCCCAGGGATGGTGACACGGCTCAGGGACAGCAGCCACAGCGCCACGCTGGCCCTGTCCCCAGCCTGTCCCAAACCCGCCTGGTACTGGCCATGGTTATCACCATCCCTGTCCTCATACCTGTCCCTGTCCCTGTCCCCAGCCCTGTCTCCATCCCTGTCCCTGTCCCCATCCCTGTCCCTGTCCCCAGCCCTGTCCCCATTCCTGTCCCTGTCCACATCCCTGTCCCCATCCCCATCCCTGATCGCAGGGATCCCATCACTCCCGTTGCTTCCCTTTCTCCCTGCAGGTCCCAGCCCTGGCCCCAAGCCCTCTGTCCCTCCTGCCTGTCCCCATCCCTGCCCCCATCCTCATCCCTGTCCCTGCCCCATCCCTGTCCCCATCCCTGTCCCTGTCCCCATCCCTGTCCCCATCCCTGTCCCCATCCCTGTCCTCATCCCCGATCACAGCGATCCCATCACTCCCGTTGCTTCCATTTCTCCCCGTGGTCCCCAGCCCTGGCTGTCCCTGTCCCCAACCCCTCCATCCCTTCCTGCCTGTCCCCATCCCCATCCCCTCACCGCGGCTTTGGCACCATGTCCTCGGGCACGGGCGTCCAGATGGACTCGGGCGACTTCTGCTCGCGGAACCGGCCCTCGAACACCGCGGCCACCTGGGCCATGTCGAAGGCGCAGACGGCCGAGCCGGGAATGCTGCGGGGACACGGGATGAGCATCCCAACCCCTCCCACGTCCCCCACGCCCCCCACATCTCCCAGGAGCCCCGAGGGGGTCTCCGCGGGGGCACCGGAGCCTCCGACCTGTTGGCGGGCGTGGAGAAGACGGCGAGGACCACGGGGCGCCCGTCCAGCTCCAGGATGTCCGTCACGGCCTGGATGACGTTGAAGTAGAAGTGGGAGTCGCCCGGCACGGAGCAGTTGAGCCGGGCCTTGAGGAAGGAGGTCCACTGCTTCTCCAGCACCCGCTGGGAGCCCCCCATGTCGTTCTTGCACACCCGGGCCACCCGCGACACCACCACCTGCGGGGTTAGGGTTAGGGTCATCTCCCCGTCCCCACCCCAACCACCATCTCCACATCCCTGTTCCCACCCTGACTGGGATTACAGCACGGTTTGGGTCGGAAAGGACCTTAAAGACCACCAATTCCAGGTGGGATGTGTGTCCCACCTTCTCCAGGTAGTTGAACTCCATGGCGATCTCCCGGAAGAAGAAGTAGACGTGGCTCCTCCACTCCACGGCGTGCACGAAGTAGGGCTCTGTGGGGACAGCGGGGGTTGGGTTCCAAATTTTAGTTATGAGAAAAGAAACACTCGGTTTAGACAGAAAACCTTGAGTCACAGAAGCTGGGGCAAAAAACCCCTTTTTAAGTAACTTCATCGCTGTGGATTCTTCCTGCCCCCTCCAGCACAATGGAAGAGACTCCTGGCATGATGTTATCACCCAAGCCAGAGAGACCATACCCTGATTGGATCGACCTATGCAGAAGACCCATTGTGTTTTATCTCTCCTTTTGTGTTTACCTGTCCCCGCTGTAAAATTCCCCAAGTTAAAGTGGGTTTCTCCCCATGAGGTAATTCCTAAGACCCCCAAGATTTGTCAAACCTCATCTCTGGAAAGTCCCCCAATTGTAACAGAACGAATATGCAAGCCCCCTGTTGAATATGTGGACCACGAACCCCCTTAAATACCCTTTAAATACTCTTTAAATGCCCTTTAAATACTCTTTAAAAAGTTGTGAACACAACAAAGGATTCCACTTTTCTGCCTCCCCCGGGGTCGTGATGGCTCATTGACCTTGGCGAGCGGGGTCAGGGCGGGGGGACAGGGGTCGTGCGACACGTCCCGGGGTGGGGACACCCACCTTTGAACCACTTGGAGTCGTGTTTGACGGTGCGCAGGGTGGGGCTGTCCCCGAGGCTGCGGTAGATGACGGCGTCGATGGCCAGGAAATCCGTCACTGTGGCCGTGAAGAGCATCCCCCCTGCGCGGGAGGGGGGTCAGAAGGGCCAGGAGGGGACACCACGCCCGCGGTGACACCCCCGGGGCCGGCACCGACCTGTGAACAGGGCCACGTTGGCGTGTTTGGGGTCGTAGGGACACCGGGCCATGCCGCTGATGTTGTCCCCGACGGGCTCCAGCGTGTCCATCTGCGGGGGGGGGGACATGGGATGTGAGGACACACCCGGGCACGGGGGAGACCCCCGGGGGTTCCCATCCCAACAGGGAGTTGGCACAGATGGGGTTGAAGGTGTTGGTGCCGCAGCCTCTTCCCATGGGTGCCCCCCTCCTGCCCTCACACCAAAGCACCCCAAACCCCTCTACCGTGGGTTTCCCCTCTTTCCTTAACCCCAAAGCACCCCAAGTTAAACCCCTCCCCATGAGTGCCTCCCTTCTGCCTTCACCCCAAAACCCCTCTCCCATGGGTGTCCCCTTTTTCCTTAACCCCAAAGCACTCCAAAACCACCTTCCCATGGGTTTCCATCTCCTGCCTTCACCCCAAAATCCCCTTCCCATCGGTGTCCTCCTCATGTCTTCATCCCAAAACCCCTCTCCCATGAGTGCCCCTTTTTCATTAACCCCAAAGCACCCCAAAATCACCTTCCCATGTGTGTCCCCCTCCTGCCTTCACCCCAAAAGCACCCTTTCCATGGGTTTCCCTCTCCTGTCTTCACACCAAAATCCCCTTCCCATCCATGTCCTCCTCATGTCTTCATCCCCAAACCCCTCTGCCATGGATGCCCCCTTTTTTGTTAACCCCAAAACCACATTCCCACATGTGTCCCCCTGACCTTCACCCCAAAACCACCCTTCCCGTGTGTGTCCCCCTCCTGCCTTCACCCCAAAAGCCCCCTTCCCGTGGCTGCCCCCCCTCTCCTCGCCCCCCAAGGCCCCCTCCCGGGGGGTTCCCATTCCTGGGGGGTTCCCATTCCCGGGGGGTTCCCATTCCCAGGGGGTTCCCGTTCCCGGTGGGTTCCCATTCCCAGGGGGGGCTCACGCTGTAGTTGGCGCAGACGGGGTTGAAGGCGTTGGTGCCGCACACGAACAGGAGGCTCTCGTTCCTCACCAGCAGAACCTTCACGAAGTTCCGACACTCTGCCTGCGCCGGGGGAGGGGGCACCGTCACCCCTCGGGACCCCCCCGAGCCCCCCCAACCCCACTCAGACCCCCCTCGCCGGGAGGGGAGGGAAGGGGGGGGATGTTCTCATCATTTCATGGGATTTGCGAAGAATTAATTACCGACCTAATTAAGCGGCCGATAAATCAGAGGCTGGCTGGCTGGGAGGGGAGAGGGGAGTGGGACAGCGGGGAGGGGACGGGGCGGCCTCGCCCGTGTCACGGGGGGGGGCACAGAGGGCGCTCAGCCCCCCCAGAAGGGTCGCAGCCCCCCCGTACCTCGTGCTTCCCCTTCATCCGGCAGATGCTGATGTCGTGCTGGTTCGAGCGCCACGTCAGCTTCTGGGGGGGTGGGAAACCAGCGTGGAGGAGCTGGTGGCACCCCCCAGAACCCCCTTGGCACCCCCCGAGACCCCCCGGGACCCCCTGAGACACCCCCCCCTCCCCAGCACTTACCCGGTGGTAGCGCAGCTCCCCCGCCCCGCTGGGCTCCAGGCTCACCCGGTACACGTTGTCCCTGGGGAGGGGGACACCGGTGTCACCACCCCCCCTGTTGGGATGTGCCCCCCCCAGCCAGGGGTGCAGGATCCCCCCCCAGGAAGGTTTTGGGGCGCTGGGGTGGGCTCTGAGCACCCCCAGGGTAAGGGCAGCCCCTCTGAAGCCCCACAAACACCCCATGGTAGGTTTTGGGGTACTGGGGTGGGCAGTGAGCATCACCAGAGTAAGGACGGTCCCACTGGAACCCCCCAAACACCCCATGACAGATTTTGGGGGGTCCCGGGGCAGGTGACACAGCAAAGAGGGTTTGGGGTGCCCACCCCCGTGCAAGGGAGGTTTTGGGGTGCTGGGATGGGCTCTGAGCACCCCCAGGGTAAGGACAGCCCCATTGGAACCTCACAAATACCCCATGGTAGGTTTTGGGGTGCTTGGGTGGGAAATAAGCATCCCAAGGGTAAGGGAAGCCCCATTGGAACCTCACAAACAACCCGTGGCAGATTTTGGGGTGCCCTGGGGCAGGTAGTGGGGTTTTCCCCAGCCAAGAGGGTTTGGGGTGTCCCCTGCTGTGCAGGGGAGGTTTGGGGGGGCTGGTTCTCACCTTTCCCCGATGAAGAGGGTCCTGTTGACCTTGAGGATGCGCTGGATGTTGAGGCGCTGGGGGATCCCCCCCTCGGGCCCCCCCAGGCGGCTGCTGCCATGCCCCACAAACACGGGGTAGTGTTTGACATCTGGGGGAGCACAGGGAGGTCACACGGGGCCAGGACACCCCCACACAGCCCAGGAGACCCATGGGGGCACCTCTCTCCTACCTTCACCCCAAAACCCCTGTCCCTGGGTGCCCCTCTCCCGCCTTCACCCCAAAGATGCCCTCCATTGGTTCCCCGTCCTGCTTCACCCCAAAGGATCCCAAAGCACCCTAAAAACCCATCCCTTGGGTGCCTCCCTCCTACCTTCACCCTAAAGTGCCCCAAAACCTCTCCATGGGTACCCCTCAAGAGAACCCCAAAACCCAGCCCTGCCCATGGGTGTCCCCCCTCCTGCCTTCACCCCAAAGCACCAGAAAGCACCACAAAACCCCCTCCTATGGGTGTCCCCCTCCTGCCTTCACCCCAAAACCCCCTCCTGTGGATTGCCCCTTCACCCCAAAACACCCCTAAGCACCACAAACCCTCCTCCCATGAGTGTCCCCCTCCTGCCTTCACCCCAAAATATCCCAAAATCCCCTCAGCGGGTTCCTCCTCCTCCCTTCACCCCAGACCACCCCAAACCCCTTCCCCTCCCCGTACCCCCCTTGCCCCGGGGGGGCACTCACAGTCCAGGGGGGCCACGGAGATGGGCCCGGGCTCCTCGGGGAAGGTGGCCCACGCCATCCTCTCAGCCACCACCAGCAGCAGGAGCAGGAGCAGGGGGACACGGGCTGGTGGCCCCATGGTGGCCCCCGCCCCGGGTGGGACCTGCGGGCACGGGCAGGGCTGGGAGGGGCGGCTCCCACCCGGATCCCGGGGGTCCTCCCCCACCCCGGAGACCCCAAACACACCCCCCGGGGCTGGGGGGTGAGGGGTGACCCTGGGGGATGTGTCCCTTCCCAGGGGAAGTTCCAAACATGCTGGGAAAAGTGGGAAAAGCGGCCTCCAGGCCCCCCCCTGAGTCCTCCCGGTGCCCGCCTGGCTCCATGCTGGGGACACTGGGGACACTGGGGACACTGGGACCAGACTGGGGCCTTACTGGTGGCTTCTCACCGGCAGTGCTGGTGTCATGGCAGGGCTGGGGACATGGGGATGTGGGGATGTGGGGACATGGGCACATGGGGACGAGGACACAGGGACATGGGGATGTGGGGACACAGGGACAGGGAGACGTGGGGATATGGGGACACGGGGACATGGAGATGAGGACACAGGGACAGGGGAACACAGGGACAGGGAGTCAAGAGGACACGGGGACACAGGGACATGAGGACAGGCAGATGTGGAGATGTGGAGACATGGAGATGTAGGGACATGGGGACACAGAGACTTGGGGACTTGGGGACAAAGGGACATGGGGACATGAGGACAGGCTTATATGGAGACATGGGGACATGGGGGCATGAGAATGAGGACACAGGGACAGGGGGACATGAGGACATGGGGATATGGGGACATGGGGACATAGAGATTTGGGGATAAAGGGACATGGGGACATGAGGATGAGGACACAGGGACATGGAAACATGAGGACATGGACACAGGGACATGAGGACAGGCAGATGTGGAGATGTGGGGACACAGGGACACGGGGATGTAGGGACACGGGGATGTGGGGACACGGGGACATGGAAACATGAGGACATGTGGACACAGGGACATGGGAACACGGAAACATGAGGATATGGAGACACGGGGACATGGGAACACAGGGACAGGGGGACACAGGGACATGAGATGGGGGACACAGGGACAACAGGAACAGGGGAACACAGGGACGTGGGGACAAGAGGGAAACCAGAGAGACTCTTCCCCACCCAAAATGCCACTGGGATGGCCTGGAAAATCCTCCGGGACACATCAGAGCTCCACGTGCCACTGCATCCCCCACCCGGCCAGCCCCAGTGCCACCATCCCCCTCTGTGCTGGGCCACCATCCCCACCCTGTCACTGGCCCCGGGGGCTGGGGCCGGGCTGGGTAATTAGCAGCGGGCAGGGAATTAATTGATCATTAATTCCACGGGCACAGGAACGATCGAAGCGTCGCCCTCCCGGTGCCACATCCCCCGTGGGGACCGGGATGGTGACATTGGGTGGGGCTGGGGGACAGAGACACTCATCCCCAGCCCCTCTGTGGTGTCACCAGCCCCAGGTAAGACCTGGCACTGTCCCCCTCCAGGTGCCCTCTGCGGTGCCACAGCCCCTGGGGACATTGGATGCCACCCCTGCTGTGTCACAGCCCTTGGGGAGGATGTGTCCCCAGGGGCACCTGGCCCCAATGTCACAGCCCTTGGGGACAACTGATCCCATCCCCACATTGTCACAACCCCTGGGGACAACGGATCCCCAGAGTGTCACAGCCACAGGAACCCCCAACCCTGTCCCCACAATCTCAGGGACATCCAACCCTGGCCCCACAAGTGTCACAGCCGCAGGGACACCAACCCCGTCCCCACGGTGTCACAGCCCCTGGGGACAACTGACTCCATCTCCAGGGTGTCACAGCCCCTGGGACACCCAACCCTGTCCCCAGGGTGTCACAGCCACAGGGACATCCAACTTTGTCCCCACGGTGTCCCCAAGAAGCAGGAAATGAGCCGTTTGTCACCCACCTCACGTGAAAGCCACCAAATTTAAGGTCCCCAAGCGCCGGAGGGGGGGGGGGGAAGGGGGTACCCCAAAAAATCCACCCGAGGGAAGGGCAGTGCCCGTCAGCCACCTGGGAATTCGGGTGGGATCTGGGGAGGGGGCAGGGCGGGGGTCGCGTCGCTGCCTCGGGGGCCCGTAACCCCGAGCGGGGGGTCCGGTGTCACCGTCCCCCAGCCCGCGCGGGGACAGCGAGCGGGCACAGGGTAACCGGAGCCTCCGGCGCCATAAATGCCCGCGATTGTGCGGGAAAAGAAAAGGCAGCGGGAAAGAGGGGGGCGCAGGGAGGAGCGGGACACGGCGGGGAGGGGGGCGGCCAACGAGGACGAACAGGGAGGGGGGTGACGAACAAGGAGCCATTCACGGCGGTGGCGGAGGAGAGGGGACGGTCACACCGTGCGCGTCCCCAGAGCGGCTCTGGGGACGCTGAGGCGGCGGGAGGGGACGGGGGGGATGTGTGGGGATGGAGGGGGAGTCTCCAGCCTGGATATCTCCGGCACCCAGCAGCTGAACAGCCTTGGGAGTGTCCCCTGTCCTTGTCCCCGCTCCGTGCCTGTTCCCCCATCCCGGAGCACGCTCGGCCACACAAACCTTCCCGGGGGGGACGCGGGGGGGCTGCTCGACCTGTCCCACCCTCCCGCAGCATCCCCGCGACCCCCAACACGGGGGTGATGGGGCAGGAAGGGGGAGCAGCCCCCCAGTTCCCGCCCCCCCCTCATGCTGCAACTCTCTGACCCCACAGAGGGGGGGGTCTGTCTGATGGGGGGGGGTCACGCTGCTCCCTTTCCCTCCCCCGCGGCGTCTCCCCCCCCTTCCCTCACCCCCTCTGTGCCCACCTGAGCTCCTCCGGCCGCCTCCGCTGCCCCTACGGCACGGCCACCACTGTCCCCTCGGCTCGCAGGGGGGGTCCCGCATGCCCGGCTCCCATAGCTGGGGGTGGGTCCCCCCCCCCCCCCCCCCGGGCCCCCCCGCCGGCGCGGGGGGCCCCGGGTCAGCTGTCCCCCCCCCCCCCCCCCCCCCCCCCCCCCCCCCGCGACCCCCAGGGGAGGGGGGTCTGCGCCCCCCGCCCGCGCCAGGTGGGAAGGTAGGGCTGATGTCACCGTAACCGGAGCCACCGCCGCCCCCCCCCTCGCCACCCCCCGGCAGCTGTCACCGCAGCCGGGGACCCGGAGGGGGGGGGCAACACCCGCGGGACCCCCCGAGCGGCACCGCGGCGTCCCCACGGAAACCGCGGGCACGAACCCACCCGGTGAGACCCCCCCCCCGACCCACGGTGGGGACAGAGGGACAGCGGTGTCCCCTCATCCTCACCGGGGCTCCCCCATCCTCATAAATCCAACGGGAAAGAGGGAGGAGGTGCACCGGGAAGGGGGGGGGACCACACTGGAAAATGGGGGGGACACTGGGAAGGGGGATACTGGGAAAGGAGACACGCTAGGGAATGGGGGGGACACTGGAAAGGGCGATACTGGGAAGGGGGGATGCACTGGGGAATGGGAAGGACACTGGGAAGAGGGATACTGGGAAGGGGGACACGCTGTGGAATGGGGCGGACACCAGGAAGCGGGGAGGTTGTGGAATTTTTAAGCTCTAAAATCCCTTAAAACACAACTTTTTTAGGGAGCACCCTCAGTATCCAAATCCCTTCCCGTTCTATCTGTCCGATGCCGGAATTCTGGGGGGTGATTTCCTCCAGAAAGCCCCCGGTGCCAATGAGGCATCAGCAATTAGACATGCTAATTAGGTCCTCACACCCACCCCTCCTTCGGCCCCCCCAAAATGTGGCACCCGCTCCCCAGGGCACCCCTTGCTCTGTGGGGTCACTCCCCATCGCCACGAGGGGGATTTGGGGGTCACCACCCCAAAACCACAGTGGGGACCCCACCAAAAACTGCAATGGGGACCCTCCCCCCAAAAAAACCCGCCGTGGGGACCCCCCCCAAGGCCCAGCTGCCGCCGCCGGGGCTGGGGGGGGTTCGGTGCCCCCCCCGGGTTTCCGTTCCGGGCCCGGTTCAGATGGCAGAGCCAGGAAGCAGCTGTCCCGCGGCGCGGACGGAGCAAATGTCACCCCGGCCACCTGGCACCGCGCTGGCCTTGTCCCCGTCCCCGTCCCCTGCCGCGTGCCCCCCCCTCCTCACTTTCCAAGCAGCACCTCCCGGGGGGGACGGGGGGGGCACCGGCAGCACCCCCAGAGCTGCGGAGGTGCCAAGAGGATGGGGAGGGACACACGATGCACCGGTGGGGTCCCCATGCGGGTGACAGGGCCACCAGCGCGGGGGGGACACGCACGCACAGCACCCACCGTTTACCTTGGCGCTTCCACGGCCCCGCCGGCGGCTCAAATGTCCCCCCGGGCCTCCCGCTCCGGTTACCGGCTCCGCTTACAGCTGCCGTTTATAGCCCCCGGCCCCGTCCCCTGTCCCTCGGCCCTGTCCCCTCCCCATCGCCCACCGCCCCCCGGGTGGGCACCGCGGCGTCCGAGCCCCCCCTGGGACATCCCAAAAAGGGTCCGACCCCCCGACACGGGTCCCGGGGGTGGTTGGGACCCCGCGGTCACTTTGGGTGGCTTTACGCCCGGGGTGACCCCGGCTGCTGGGTGTCCCCCCCCCCCGGGTGACACCCGTGGGTGCCCCCGGCGCGTCCCTTCCACCACGCCGGCGGTGCTGGTGGCCGGCCAGAGCCGCATGGTGATTTGCATATTAAATACGTGCTCATCTGCATATTAAGGACGGTTTCCTAGCGAGGAGGCGTCACGCGTCACGCCAAAATAAATCCCCGGGGGACGGGGGACGGGGGGGACGGCGGGGGTCGCAGGCGGGGTGCTGTGTCCCCCCCAGTTCACTGTCCTCACCCTCTGTCCCCAAACGTGTGGCTGACCCGTCCCCCGAAAAAAGTCACAGCCCTTGTCCCCTGTCCCCAAACACGTGGCTGCCCTGTCCCCCAAAATTCACAGCCCCACCCCCCCCAAATTCACAGCCCTGTCCTCTGTCCCCCTAAACTCACAGCCCTGTCCCCCCCACATTCATAGCCCTTGTCTCCTGTCCCCAAACACGTGGTTACCCTGTCCCCCCAAATTCACAGCCCAGTCCCCTGTCTTCCCCAATTTGCCTTGTCCCCCCCAATTCTCCAGGACAGGACCCTC